GGCGTAACTATTTTTTGATCATCATTTAACTCAAAATCAATTTATAGTCTCGGAACTCACTTTTAATAGCAAAGCTCTCATATGTGAAAACTAAGTAAATCTATTAAAAGCTTTTACTTTCTGCTGACAAGCATTTGCCCTGATATTCATGTTGGGTTTAACGATTCAGACTATGATTGGCGTTTTATTATAGAAAGAGTATATTATCTCAACATACTCAAATGGATGTGGGAGTGAATGACAGGAAAGTTCAAAATAAAAGAAGAAATTATAAAATAGAAATATCATGGAAAAATAGGAGCGAAATCTGAAAATAATTTTGTGAAAAAGTATCCTGTTAAAGCTCTTGAGGAAGGTGAAGAGGATCTGGAGGAGAAAGAATATATGGGTGGTCTAATTAAGATCAAAATTAGTGCAGAAGATGATTTTACTTCTAGCTTTCTTAAACTGCCAGGTTGTGAACCGATTGATATTTGCGTGTTCCTCAAAAAACGTTTTTCTCATTCTGAAGTCGAAAAGAAAGGCTCACTTAAATTCTTCCTACAAAAATTCGGTCTTGACAGTAAGACTGATATGCCATACGATAAAATGTGGAAAATCTATTCAGAGATGAAAAAAAGCACCTCTTCATCAACTATGAAAAGTATGTGTAAAGTAGCACAATACTGTATTATAAACGCATTGTACTATTAAGAGCTTTTGGTAAACCAAAGTATAATAAATGATTATAGAGAAGTTGCTTCTATAGCTTATGTTTCTCTTTTTGACACACATTATTGCACAAATGGAATGAATGTACAAAACCTTCTCAGCGCATGTGCTATAAACGAGATATAGTAATTAGTACAAGGGTTTCTGAAGACATAGAAAAAGAAAAATATCCTGGTGCGTATGTATTCCACCTAAAAAAGGTATCATGATAGAAAGACCTGTAACAGGTCTGGATTTTGCATCTTTATATCCTAGCATTATCATGGCCTATAACCTCTCCCCAGAAAAATCATATTTGATTGAGAAAAGTCTAATAATATCTGTAAAAATAGGAACAAGCTTTATACGATTGAGTTTAAATTCAATAAGTGTGACATTCAAGTTTGATACGTACGTCATGAAAATCAATTTGAGAGGAAAGGATTATATCTGGTAGTATTAGAGGATTTGTCTAACAGAGGCTGAAGCTTAAAGCACGTCTGGTCCCACTAGGAAAGAAAAGGCAACATCTTAAGAAGATAATAAGTTCAGCTAAAGAAAGTGGCAAAAGGATTCCAGAAAGCTTAAATTTAGAATACTCATTCATATGCTTTGATTATAATAGTTGGAATTCGAAGCAAAAAGCTTTAAAGATATCCCTATAAGAAATCGAAATAAGGAAATGATACGTTTTTTATAAGGTTTGTATACGTAATTAATGATTCTATA